CGCGAGTTGATCGTTGTAAAGCAAAGAGGAAGAAATGTGGCTATGACGGAAACGCGTTATCCCAGAACTGGGCAAAAAACACCAGATGCGTATTAAATCCTAATACGTTTATAAAGTGTATGTCACTTGGCATGCATTTCACATCTGGAGACTGAAAAGATAATTTCAAATGGTTTGATCTTGTTCATGTGTACGCTATTAATCAGTCCCAGATTAATTAATAACAATTAGATTCCTATATTGTCAGCCTGCGACCACGATGAATCCCGCATGAGCTTTTGTCCGTCATGTGACGAACCTGGTCAGCACAGGACGCCATGCTTAAGGATAACTGGCCAGAAGCACAAAGGCAAGAAAGGTGGCCAGCTTCAAGCCTATCTTCTTCTTATAGTCCGATTTGGTCCACTTATTTAGGCATCTTATGTTTTAGATGGATATCCTCTGCTTTGATAAATGTCTGCTAAAAAGTCAAATTAAGTGGCTGCGGAAGAGATGTGAAGTGGCTGCAGATAAAGCGTGAAACGGATGCAATTGTGGCCGAACAGCTGCATCCTCCCTTAAGGCACGACGTATACTCTTGATCCTGCAATGTTACCGCGTGGGATTGCATTCATTGCCACATGTGATATGTGAATGCGTTGCTCTTGAAAAGCGTAGTGTCTGAGAGTCACAACGGCATTCTAGCATAAGCAAACCTTCTCCTCTTGTCGATTGTACTTCTCGTTTCCCACTCACTCCAATCCTATTCAACAGCCGCAAGTAGTGCACCAAGTTGGGATACTTCGAAACCCAGTTTTTCTGCATAATCCATGCTCTGATTGAGTACTTTGCGCTTTTCATACATGCATGTAGGAAACGCAAGATTATGCAGGAAGGAGAGGGAATGCGATCTTAACTTTTCTTTATGTAAGAAAATAAAGTGTAATTCTAAAGCCTGTTGTAGCTTGGAGGATGTTTATGCGTTGTTGCTATGCAATACTCATTAGATTGCTGAAAGATTTGAGCCCGGTGAGGCCAATGTACGAATCCATTCCACTCGCCTATTCAAACGAAATGAAACGTACCCTAGCCTCAATCTATCCAGTCTTTCCAAATACCTACAAAAATTGCCATATGTGTGATTTTGAGGGACCTTTTAATTTTGCTCTCAGCTACAGAATTTCCATAATTTACAACAAAAACAAGGTAGAAAGCATTTTATTTTATATCCAGTTTTTCCGCCTGATCCCCAACTAAGATCTTTCAACCGAACAGCCTCTACCTGCCCTTTTGTGTTTAGCCACGCATGGGCGAATTGAAAGATTAATCTCTCCGATAAAATAACAACCACATCAGCTTCGTTTGTCATAGCAGCCTGATCCGAAGGATTGATCGACTTTTTGTCTAAAAGTCGGCCTAATCAGAGAAAGCGTCATAGCTGTTTAGAAAAGAGTGAAAGACACAATTTTACTTGAAAGGGAAGTGAGATTAGCTGATGAAAAACAGGCAATTCTTCGTAAGCCAACATTTTTTTCAAATCTGCCACACGCTACAGCAGAAGTTATTTGTGCTTGGAGTGAGGAGAGGAGAGAGTGGAGAGTGGATGGTGGATGGTGGAAGGAGGGAGAGGATGATTGAAGTCTCATTCCTTCAGGGTGAGTTTGTCTAAGAGATACTCGCCAAGACCGGGCCCGACTCGCTCTGCTTCAGTCAGGTAGTCTGCAAACTGCTTTATTGAGCGAATCTGCTCTTTCAAGAATTCACATTCCAAAAAGTCCATCATCTCCGGGTCCTTGTACTTCTCGGCGATTGCGTGCAGCTTCAACAGGGACTGGAGAAGGGAAAAAGAGGAAAGAGACCAAGTTAGCTCTGCCAAGTTCCAATGGGCTGGAGTGTAAAGGACAGACTCTGAAGGTGCGCGTGAAGATGTGCAACGGAGGAGGCGACTTGGGCATGCATCACGAATGACCACGAGGCTGAGCTGATGACGCGAGGCTATGAACGGATGACCAATACCTTAAACCGAAAGGCCAGACTGCAAATGAGCATCTCTTGAATGACAATCTCGTCAGCTTCGGACGCAGAAAGTGATTTGACGACTCGGGCTGTAGTTAAATTTGACTAGTCCGTGCCACCAAAAAGCTAATCTTAGCTCAGCTGGACTCGACTGGACTGCAGCTTCCATGTTGTCTAGCAGCCCTTCATCACTACGCTCAGACGGGATTCGAATCTGGGTCGTGAGTTTTGTAGCAATGTTCCTACTCCACACAACACTGAACCACATTACA